TCTGAGAGCTTTTTCTTTGCGCGTGCACAGCAAATTAACAGATTATTACGAAAAGGCTATTTCAGGAAAAAATGCATACGGCTAATTTTTCAAGTAAAAGAATAAACTTTGATCAATCCATATTCAATGCGTTCGTTGGCGACCGAGAGTCCAGCTGGGAGCATTGAGCTTAAAAATCAGAAAAACCCAATATGAGGACTGATCGCGCTCAAATTCTTGTTTCATTTTTTTTTTGGAAACGATTCCGGAGGAAGTTTTAGCATTGAAGGAAGGACTTTGCCTACATAAACTTGCGTCTGGGTTTGGGAACAGGAACTCGGCAGAGGACCCCTCACCTCCTGGAGAAGGAGAACGACCTGACCACTCTAATGTAGAAGCCATCTAGTTTATCTTTGATGTGACTGCTCGAGCATGATACTTATTTCTATTCTGGTTTTTTGGCGCACTTTATGTGTAAAATAAATAAATCAATATCAACAGAAGCATCAATATAAAAAATAATGGACTAGTTATATAACTACCCCTTCTCAGCGGTGTTGCCATCATATTTTCTGTGTATGACTAAGACTATCTAAGTTTAGCTTACTTTGTTATCTCTTAAAGTAACAGCAGTTGTATAATGAGAGCAATTTTGGCTAAATGTGCTTGTTGGAAGAGAATGCTTAACGTTACCAAAAGGTTTTTCTCGGGAAAGTTGAGCTTAATTAAAGAGAAAATAAGCTCTAGTGACGATTCTTGTAATTGTTCTCGCTGAAAGCATGTGCTGCAAGGCAACTTCCTCTATTTGGGAAGGCAACAGGGTGAAACTGCAAATGTCAGCGTTTACATCGTAACAAATGTTTGGTGAAGGGAATGGATTTTGTGAATAAGCTTGTTATGCCTGTTATTTTCTACAGGTACTTCCCTCTCTCCTACAATCGACATTTTTATGTGGAGTTTTATCACACCATGAGGTGGTAGGACTATAGCCATAGTTTCTTCAGTTTGAACTGGATACTTGAAAGATTGTGATATTGAGTAATAAATAGGTCCACTTA